GCTGCTATCCCGAGATGTTAGCGATTGGCCATCTTGGATCGTTCCTCAAAACAAATTTTTTAATTAAGTTAAAGAGGCTGGGTGTGGTGGCTCCCACCTGTAATCCCAGCATTTTGGGAGGCTGAGGTGGGCACAGATCCCCTGAGATCAGGAGTTTAAGACCAGCCTGGCCAACCTGGTGAAACCCTGTCTCTATTAAAAATACAAAAACTAGCTAGTGGTGGTACACATCTGTAATCCTAGCTTCTGGGGAGGCTGAGGCAGGAGAATCACTTGAAGCTGGGAGGTGAAGGTTGCAGTGAACCGAGATCATACCACTATACTCCAGCCTGGGTGACAGAGCAAGAGAGACTGTCTCAAAAAAAAAAAAAAAGTTAAGAATAGGTATGGTAGAAATTAAAAATGGCCACACATTCTTTACCACTCATGAAGTAGGTTCTGTTCTCTTCCCATTTTGAATCTAGGCTGGCCTGTGATTCCTTTGACCAACAAAGCACAGCAAACAGAAGTGATACTATGCTATTTTTGGCTCTAGCCTTTAATAAGACTTGTAGCTTCCAGCTTGGCCTCCTGAAGCTTGAGTCACTATATTAGAAGTCTAATACCTTACTATAGAGAGGCCTTGAGCCTACTGGGAGAGGGACAGGAGCATGTCTTTACTGCCAAGCCTGTCAAGGCAGAGGCATGTGAATTAAGTCATCTTAATTAGACCAGCCTACAAATTAGACCAGCTGAATACCACGATCAAATTCACCTGGAGCAGAAGAATTGTTCAATAGAGCTTTGCTCTAAATTCCTGACCCTTAAAATCATGCAACGTAATAAAATGGTTGTTTTTTCAAACTACTAAATGTTGGAATAGTTTGTTATACTCAATAAATTACACAAAAATAGGCAGATGTAAGCAAATACATTTAAAAAGAAAGAGTTCTGCTAAATTAAATTTGGCTTAAGGCTGCTGCTGTACCTTGAGTCCATAAATACTGAACAACAATCTAATTTGGTATGTAAACAAATTGAAAGCTTAAGAGTGTATTCTTGAAACAAATAGCTGAGTCTCAGCCATCAATCACAGCTGCCGAGCTCTAGGTAATCATAGGCTGCAAAATGATCAAACCATGTCCAAAAAAGGCAAACACTGAGCTTTAACCAACCAAGCTGTTTCAGTATTTCACTTCCTTTCTCTATCTGTGAATACTCCTTGCTCACAACATGAAACTCTCTGAACTTCTTCTGGATCTGAGTGCTGTCCTATTCATGAATCATTCTTTCCTCAAAAAGATTCTGAAAAATTTAATTTGTCTGAAGTTTTTTTTTCTTTCATTTTAAAATTTTTATTATTTAGGGACAGGGTTTCACCATGTTGGTCAGGCTGGTCTCAAACTCCTGACCTCAGGTAGTTCACCCACCTCAGCCTCCCAAAGTGCTGGGATGATAGGCATGAACCACTGCACCCGGCCTGAGTTTTTTTTTTGTTTTTTTGTTTTTTAACAGTTCTCCTATTACTGGTAAACAAATTTAAGCTGGGCATGGTGGCATATGCCTACAGTTCCAATCACTTGGAAGATGATGGCAAAATGCTTGAGCCCAGGAGTGAGGCTGCACTGAGCTATGATCTATGATTATGCCACTGCAATCCAGCAGCCTGGTGATGGAGTGAGACCTCATCTCTAAAAAGACCAACAAAAAACAAACACAAAAACACATGTAGAGTTTTACAATAAGAAAACATTGTTTTGGACAAATGATATTATTTTTAAATCAGTAAAGTATGTACTCTAAAAGTATGTGAATATTTATGTGAATATATATATGCTCTTAGCATGAATGAGACCCTTCAAAGCAAAACACCAAAAGCAGAAACCATAAAGGGTTAGATTAATACATCTGAATACATAAAAGTTTAAAGTAGCTATACGTCAAAAATATTCCACCATAACCCTAATCTTAACCCTAACCATAATTAAAAACTTAAAAGTGTAGTCCACACACACGGGAAAAATATCAAGTGAAAATGTGTTCAACACAAAATTTTTTTTTTAAGCACAAGTATGCTAAAGAAGACAGTTGCTGGCCGGGTGCAGTGGCTCATGCCTGTAATTCCAGCACTTTGGGAGGCTGAGCAGGTGCATCACTTGAGGTCAGGAGTTCAAGAAGACAGTTACTGAAATGATACATTTCTGACCTCACAGTTTTGTCAGGTACAGACTGAGCTTGATTCCCCCCATGTATTACTTTCCTATTCTGTGGTAATTTGCTGAATCAAATTACCATAAATTAAGAGGCTTAAACAACATAAATGTATTATTATTATTACTATTACTGAGATGGGGTCTCACTCTGTCCCCCTGGCTGGAGTGCAGTGGCACACTAATGGCTCACTGCAGCCTCAACTTCCTGGGCTCAGATGATCCTCCCACCTCAGCCTCCCTGGTAGCTGGGACTACAGGAACGCACCACCACGCACGGTTAATTTTCATATTTTTTGTAGAGAAAGCGTTTCACCACGTTGTGCAGGCTGGTCTCGAACTCCCAGGCTCAAGCAATCCACATGCCTTGGCCTCTCAAAAGGCTGAGAATTACAGGTGTGAGCCACTGCACCTGGCCAAATTTATTATTTAAGAGTTCCGGAGGTCAGAAGTACCAAATGGGTGAGTAGGGCTGCATTCCTTCTGGAAGCTCTTGAAGAGAATCCCTTTCCTTCCCTTTTCCAGCTTCAGGGGCTATCCACATTCCTTGGTAAGTTAGCACATAGACAGTTTTAAGGAGGGGGTCATTATGTTGCCTATGACATCTCAGTCTCCAAAGCTGAGTTCTCCCAGAGGTCATGCAAGAGACTCAGGGAAGTAAGAACCCCAGGTCTAATAGAGGCGGCTACTCAAATGCAGTTCTTACATCCACAGCTAAGTCACTCTGAGTCCAATTCAGTAATCCATTTAGTAAAAAACAAAAGAGATACAAAAATTAGCCTGGAGTGATGGTGCCTGTAATCCCAGCTACTCGAGAGGCCTGAGGCAGGAGAATCACTTGAACCCGGAAGGCAGAGGTTGCAGTGAGTGAAGATTGTCCCACAGAGAACTCCAACCTGGATGACAGAGTGAGACTGTCTCAATAAAAAAAAAAGTTTGCCAAAATTATTTTGCTTCCTATTTTGAAGGTGGTGTGAAGGTAAAGTGTTTTTTTTTAAAAAGCATCTCTACCTATTTTCATTTAATAAAAATGCATTATGTGGAGGTGATTTTTTAATTCTTGAAAAGTTGTCCTGAAGAACTGAAATAAGTTATTCCATGTGGTTGAGAGAGCAGACCCAGAAGTTATGGGGGAGAGATCTGCTCAATTCAGATTCAAAGAGAATCTCTTTTGACAGTTATCCTTGTTCAAAATGCAATGAACTACCTCAAAAAAAAAAAAAAAAAAAAGAATAGAAACAGCTTTATAAAAAATGTAGTACAGTGCTTCATTTTATAGTGAGGAAAATCTGTGTTTAGTGCTTAGAGTCTTTAAATTCCTAATGAATTATCAGATTAATGTTAAGATTGATGTGAATGCTTAACCAATTTCCACTGGCTCTAAAATGCCTGAATTTAACAGTAAGCCCTTCAAAATAGTTATTTCATGTAGATGAAATTTCTCATCACAGACCACCAAGAACTTTTGAAAAATTTAGAGGTTGTCTTCTTTCACAGCTTATTCACTTATTTCTTTTTTAAAAACGAGGCATGATTATGAGACATGCTCAGGGACAGCTCAGTGGAGGATGCAGAGGTGTTTGCTCTCATTAACACTGGGTTCAAGACCCAGGCCGCTAGGCGCGTTCTTTAAACTCGCTTTGCTTCAGTTACTTTTCAGAGCCTAGGTGCCGTTACCTTTTGGCAATCCGACGGAGAGAGAAGCAAGCGGGGAGGCAGGGCGACGCATTCTGCCACGCTGGCCCCTCACCTCTGCCATCACAGGGCGTTCTGGGTTCCTCTGAGAGGAGTTTTTCCCTTACAAGGAGGCGGTAGTGGGGTACCTCGTCTGAAGGTTAGCCCTGCTTGTAGGCGAGTAGAACTAAAGAATTTGTGTGAAAGACTGTTGTTTAGCGCGTCTTTGGTCCGTAGCATTCTAAAGCAAAATCCTTGACAGGAGAGGGGTGAAAGAAGGTGACATCCGTGACAGGAGGTAGGGAGGGAAGCTCACGACAGGTCAGTGCAGAGGAATAGTGTTGGAAACTGGAAGCAGCATCCAGGACGGCCGTGGGAAGAACTCGGCAATTCTTAAAAAGAACGTACTTTTTGCTCTCTGTGGTCCGGCGGCCATTTTTTCCGACTGCCTGTGGGTAAACGAGCAGCCCCTGTTGGTTCCGAGGGTAATAACACCTTTTCGCAGAGACGTTCTGAATATGCACCGGTAGGGGGCAGTGATGAGGCGGTTACAAGTCCCGGAGTATCCCGTCAACTGGTGAGTTTTGACGCTAAGGGAAACGTAAAACAGTGGATAAATAGAATAGTGGAGAGAGAAAGCCAACCATAAACCCCAGTAACATCTATTTTTTAAATTTTTTTTTCCTTTAGAGAAAAAGAGGGCTCCTCTTTTAATGCACACATTAGTTTCTGAATACGTATGAACCTGAAAGGAGGCAAACTTTTTAACTTCAAAGACATTGTCCATTTACATTAATGAGGGAGGGGGGCAAAAGAGACAGGGTCTCGCTATGTTGCCCAGGCTGGAGTGCAGTGGCTATTCACAGGCGCGATCCCACTACTGATCAGCACGGGAGTTTTGACCTGCTCCGTTTCCGACCTGGGCCGGTTCACCCCTCCTTAGGCAACCTGGTGGTCCCCCGCTCCCGGGAGGTCACCATATTGATGCCGAACTTAGTGCGGACACCCGATCGGCATAGCGCACTGCAGCCCAGAACTCCTGGGCTCAAGCGATCCTCCCACCTCAGCCTCCCGAGTAGCTGGGACTACAGGCACGCGCCACCGCGCCCGGCGGTAGGAGACGCTGCGAAAAGCTCCTAAAAGCTGCAGTGCGGTGACGTCACCGGGGGAGGGGTGGGTGTCAGGCCGGGCGACGTGAGCTTGGACACACCCACACTGGGCGGTCTGGAGGCTACGCTAGTGTGGCATCATCTGAGCTGGGGAGCCATTTCTGCCTTACAGGGTTGGGACCCCGGAGTCTTACTGGCGCGGTTGCGGCTGCGGCTCTCGGTGTTTTGGTCCGAACACCGCGTTCCCGCTTAACAGAAATTCGTCAGTACGCGATTCATGCTCATAGTGTGGCGTCGAGACTTGCGGCGAGGGGAAAAAAACGCAATAACCTGGTTCCTCAGCGTTGATTGCTTCAGCAGGACTTAAATATGTGCTGCGTCTTTTGGGGAACGTTACTTAAGAGGCAACCATCTGGCTCGAAATCTTCCATTATTCTCAGCAAGCATTTACGAGGTGACTGCACTGTAAGGAGAATAACCCACAGTAGCAGAGGCTGGGAGTCTGCACAGTGCCGAGGTCAGTTCAGTCTTCCCTACTCGAACGAAGGAAGCCTGGAGTAACTGTTTGCTGTCTCCGCCCTGCGTGTTAGTTGCCCGTTGTTTTTTGGAGAAAAAGCAAGTATCGAGGTATATTGGTGGAAAAATTTGGATTTGGTAGCCTGAAGTCTTTTTTGGGACAAGCTTAGGTTAAGAAGGGATAGAGGGGACGAAAGGAAAAATAATTTTCGACCATAGAAAGGCAAAAGCCGACCTATTTGTCCTCAATCTAAATCTTTCCCTCACCCCCCTTGTTTCCTAAAAACCAGTCCAGACTTTCTCCTCCGCCTGCATCCTTGCAGCAGATAACTTTGCTCCCTCATTCATGGATAAATCGAAGGCCATCAGACAAAAACTTTTCAACTCCTTGCTAGTCTCTCCTCCTCTAAACTTATCTTTACACCTTCAGAGAAGAGCACCCTTCTGTTTTCCCCTCCCACCTCAAACCCAGTAGGTCAAAATTCCTGCATCAGTCATTTTCACCCATCCTATCTCTCTTTCACTTACCTAGATTCCGATTTTCCTTCTAAAAAAAAAAACCTCCTTTGACCTTGCCTATCTTTCTAAATGAAATCTCTCTTATTATCATGGTTGCACTTCTTCAAAGCATGTTCTACAATTGCTACATTTGATTCTTAACCTTCTGTCTTCTGTCCATAGCCTACGAATCCACTGAAACTATTCTAGCTGAGGCTGCCATACCCAAGCCTCCTACTTGGGAGGTCTAAAGAACCCTTTCAGACAGATGACATTGTTGTACCCGAGCGAGTCAAGGAATGAGCCACACTCTGAGATTGAATTATGAGTCCTTTATTATGCCGGCGACCAAGAGGTGGCTAACGCCCAAAATTCTCTCAGTCCCTAAGAAAAAGTTAGGTGGTCTTTTATACCCTAGTTTTAAAAGGGAAGGTGAACCTAGCTGAAGTAAATTTTTTACAAAAGCAGAGTAAGCAAAAAGTTAAAAGATAAACGAGTACATGAGAAATAAAACAGTGCCAGGTGCGAGGGGTAAAGCTGTCATGAAACACATACAACTTACAGATAATGAGAGCTCTGGGCGCTCAACAGCACCTGCATTCCCAGGCTCTGCTGGGACCACTTAACTCGGCCGCTTATCAACAAATGCATTCCTGGAGGTGCTCAGTGTCAGCCTGCCCCAACTACATACTATAGTTACATACTTAATGGTGGGAAAATCACTAAAATGAAGAGGCTAAGATGGAGTCTGTCTGGCTCAAGAAGCTAACATAAAACCTGAACACTTTTTAGTCTGAGAAAGAGTTTTAGCTGGCAAAAAACAGGTTATCATAACATAATTTGCCACCACCGCCAATCTCTGTCACTTGTGACTGCTCTTTCCTTCCTGAATATATCTTCTCTCTGGTTCTTGTTCACAGCCCCTGATATTTCCTCCCAGGCTCGCTCCATTGCCCACCAAGCAAATGTTTTTGTTCCTTGCAATTCCCTCCTAAATGTTCTCTGTTCTCTCACCATGTTCTTCATGAGTGACCTAATCAATTCTCAAGGCTCTCAAATCTGTAGTTCCAATCTCATGTTGTTTCCAGAGCTTCAGATTCACATATTTAGTTGCCTTCTGGATGTCACCTTGAACTCAGTCAGAACTTCAAATTCAACATTTGCAAAACTGATCGTCTTCTCCTCTTCCTCCAAACTTGCCCCAATCTTCCTGTATTCTCACTTGCTGTCAATATGTTTAGTTGCTTTCAGAACCCTCAGAGTCATCCTTGACTATTTCATTCATTCAATACCAAATATTTACTTTTTACTTATCCAGTGACAGGCACTGTGCTAGGTGATAGAGATGTGGTGGTGAAGAAAAGAGACACGGTGGAAGAGACAGACAAAAACTTAGCAAAAGAATTATAATTTCAAACTGTGATAAGTGCTGGTGATATAAAAAAATGGTAGCAGGAAACAGGTAGGGCACCTACTTTCCAGAATGTATCAGGTAAGCCTCTTTTAGGAGTATCATTTAAATTAGAGCCTGAAGAATGAGGCATCGGTTAAGGTGCTTTGATTGCAAACAAGGACTGTCTGTAAACTGAAGTAAATGAACCTCTCTTTAGGAAATTCAGAAGAAAGCAAGTTATCTCAAGAAAGTTGGTCAGAAGAAAATGGGCAGATCGTGAAATGTTAGTTGTCTCCCAAAGTCGGTTCTTCCCTTTTACAACGCAAATACTTTGTTACTTGGGCACATGAAGTCCCAGCTAGAGACCACATTACCCGTCTGCCTTACAATCAAGTGTGGCCAAGTTCTCACCAATGGAATATGAATGAAAGTTGTATGTGCACTCTGTGTCACTTGCTTTGAAAAAATTGGTTGCCCTCTGCTTCTGCTCTTTTGCCTTTCTCCAGCACTAAGTGGCGCCAGTGCAGATCTACTGCAGTGACCCACATTTAACCAGGCAAATTAGGAAAAATACCAAGCATCAACGGGAAAGAAACCAGGGATTACAGAAGGGGCAGGATTCAAAACAAAACCAAAACCAAAATAAAACCAAAACAGACAGAAAGCAGAGTGCATGGATGAATTAATGAAGCTGATTCACTACAGCCTCTACCACTCCTACTTCTGGACTGTTAGATGAGAAATAAGTTTCTGTCTCAATTAAATCACTATATTTTGAGGCCTCTTTATTATTGTAGCATACTCTGTACTCTAGCCTAATAGAGGGAAGTTCACAGAAGAAAATCCTGGATAACCAGAATTCAGAAAGAGCAGGAATCAAAAGAGCTCCAGGTATCTAAAGGGCACTACCAAGGGATGAATCATCCTCAGTTTCCTTTAAGAAGAGTCTGATTTTCTAGTTTGAGTTCTGTATTCTATAATCTGTATTTATATGCATACCTGTTTTTATTTTTATTATTATAAAAATTATATATTTTTTGAGATGGAGTTGCACTCTTGTTGCTCAAGCTGGAGTGCAATGGCACAATCTGGTTTCACTGCAACCTCTGCCTCCCAGGTTCAAGCACTTCTCCTGCCTCAGCCTCCTGAGTAGCTGGGATTACAGGTGTGTGCCACCACGCCCAGCTAATTTTTTGTATTTTTATTAGAAACAGGGTTTATCATGTTAGCCAGCCTGGTCTCAAACTCCTGACCTCAGTTGATCTGCCCACCTTGGCCTCCCAAAAGTGCTAGGATTACAGGCGTGAGCTACCGTGCCCAGCCATGCATAGATACTTTTATTATAGTTATGTTGTAAATAAAACTTCTGTGTTCTGCTTTACTTTCCCACATGTCACTATTCTTTTGGTGGCAGTATAATCCTTTTTTTTTTTTTGAGATGGAGTTTCGCTGTTGTTACCCAGATTGGAGTGTAATGGCACGATCTCGGCTCACTGCAACCTCCGCCTTCTGGGTTCAAGCAATTCTCCTGCCTCAGCCTCCCGAGTACCTGGGACTACAGGTGTGCATCACCATGCCCAGCTAATTTTTGTATTTTTGGTAGAGACGCGGTTTCCCCTTGTTGATCAGGATGGTCTCGATCTCTTGACCTCATGATCCACCCCCCTCGGCCTCCCAAAGTGCTAGGATTATAGGCATGAGCCACCGTGCCCGGCCCTTTTTTTTAAGAAATATTTTGAGACAGATTCTTGCTCAGTCGCCAGGCTGGAGTGAAGTAGCATGATCGTTGTTCACTGCAACCCCCACCTCCCCGGTTCAAACGATTCTCCTGCCTCAGCCTCCTGAGTAGCTGGGACTACAGGTACGTGCCACCACACCGGGCTAATTTTTGTATTTTTAGTAGAGATAGGGTTTCACCATGTTGGCCACTCTGGTCTGGAACACTTGACCTCAGGTGATCTGCCTGCCTCAGCCTTCCAAAGTGCTGGGATTACAGGCGTGAGCCACCTGTATATAAATACAGATTGTAGAAGAATACAGAACTCCCTGCCAGGTGTCCCTATAATCTTTTGACTTAATGACCTTCTATTTGTTTAAATTGAGCCACTGTCACACTAATCACCACTTTACCATTCTACATATTTCATTTGTATTGTTTTATGAATTAGTGATAGGCATAATATCCAGTGCTAAGTCAATTATGCACAACCTCGAATCAGCCATTTGCTTTTTAACAGTGCAAAAAACAAGGCCATGTCCGCCTGTGTGGGGCTTTTCTTGTTCAAAACGTAACCTCTATACGGGCGTGCACAGTGACTCATGACTGTAATCCTAGCACTTTATGAGGCCACGGCGGGTGGATCACTTGAGGCCAGGAGTTCGAGACCGGCCAACAGGGTGAAACCCTGTCTCTACTAAAATTACAAAAATTAGTCTAGTGTGGTGGCGCATGCCTGTAGTCCCAGTTACTCAGGAGGCTGAGGCAGGGGAATCACTTGAACCCGGGAAGAGGAGGTTGCAGTGAGCTGAGACATGCACCTGCACTCATCTGGGCGACAGAGCAAGACTCTGTCTCAAAAAAATAAAGTAACCTGTATGAAAGTTAAATTTGTAGCACTAAACATTAGAGTAGATAATAACCTCATCCCAAATGGGATGTCTCAATCTGACTGCAAAACTCCATGCCATGGAGCTCAAAAGTTCACAAATTAGTTCGAGACCTTAAACAAAGAGCATGGAGTCATACAAAAAAGCTTTCTGCCCTGGTAAGGGGAGAAGGCTTGCGGGCAGGTTGGGTCTGGTCCTTGGGTTCTCAGCTTTCACCAGGGAAGGGGTACCAGACAAGGCTGAGTCTGAACCTGGGGCGCACAACTAAAGAAAAGACGATGTTGCGGGGGGGCGGGGGAAGGGGGACAAAAAAAAGAAAAGACGATGTCGAGGTCATAGACAACCAAGAAAAAGGGCCGCACCGCGGACACTATCGCAGGCCAGACCTCAGCTGAAGAGGAATAGAAGAGGAACAGGGGTCTCCAAACACGACGGGCTAGGGTCCCAGGGCAGGGGGCGGGGCCACTGGCGGAAGTCGGGGAAATAGGCGGGGCTGCCGGCGGGGTGTGGAGAGGCGGGGCCACCAGCAAGTGGGTGGGCGGGAGGCGGGGCGTAGGCGGGCGCAGGCGAGGTATGGCAGAGGTGGGGCCGCCAACAAGTGAGCGGGCGGGAGGCGGGGCCGTAGGGGGAGTGTGGAAGAGGTGGGGCTGTCAGCAATTGGGCGGGCGTAAGGCGGGACAGTTGGCGGTTGTGAAAGAGGTGGGGCTGCCAACAAGTGGGAGGGGAAAGAGGCGGGGCCGCCATAGGGCCCGACGTAAAAATTAGCCTGCGTGAGCTGGGTTCCCCGGGTGTGGTGGCTCCGCTCTGGGCTGCGTCCTCCCACGAAGCCCTCAGTTCCCCCATCCTTGACACACTGCCTGTTCTTCGCAGCTCACTACAGCGGAGTTATCTGCTGCTGCTGGCAGGGTTTTCATTGCAACAGGTTGTTATGTGCATATCAGGACAAACCTCGTGGGTTGTCCCCGATTCCATTACATTTAATAAACCAGCAGTGGATTAACCAGAATTACAGTTTGACAGAAAACACGTTTTCTTCTGGACAACACCCTGAGTGTAGGAAGAGCCTTTAGTATGATAGATACATAATATTTAATCGATCCAGAAATACATTTCTTGTGATAGGCTTCTAAATCTCAGAATAAATCCTAAGAGTGAACGGTTGAAGTTACTTATCCAGTGTCACACTGCTAGGCCTATAAATAAACTTGCAGGGTCTATTTTCTCCCATTTGAATATGCTTTGATTTCCACATGACAGTTCTGCCGAAATGTTTTGACATTTTAGATCTTAATAGAACTCCATTGCAGCATGACTATTTATTACATTGATTCTGATCTGATGTGTAATGTCCCAAAACCAAAACTCTATACATTAACATCCTGATAGTTAACACACTTTATACAACTATTGATTCTATCTCTTCAGACCAGTGTGGTAAAAGCTTTCTGTTTTATTTAATTTATTCATTTTGAAAATATTTAAAAATGTTTCATTTTCATTAGCTAACTTTTTTTTTTTTGAGACAGAGTTTCGCCCTTGTTACCCAGGCTGGAGTGCAATGGCGCGATTTCGGCTCACCGCAACCTCCGCCTCCTGGGTTCAAGCAATTCTCCTGCCTGAGCCTCCCGAGTAGTTGAGACTACAGGCGTGCGCCACCATGCCCAGCTAATTTTTTTTGTATTTTTAGTATAGACGGGGTTTCACCACGTTGACCAGTATGGTCTTGATCTCTTGACCTCGTGATCCACCCGCCTCAGCCTCCCAAAGTGCTGCGATTATAGGCGTGAGCCACCATGCCCGGCCCATTAGCTAACTTTGAAGAGTGCTTCCTTTGTTCAGGGTCTCTGTAGATTTAGTCTAATGTCACACACATTCAGAAAAAATGGCAATGTGATTTGCCTTTATTTGAATTTCTATTCTCCAGGCTGATTATTTGCTGAGGTTAACATATTTTAATGGGCCTAGATTTTGGTAGGAGAACAAATACTTTAAATTGCATACATTGATTTTGGCTGGGTGCGGTGGCTCACGCCTGTAATCTCAGCACTTTGGGAGACTGAGGTGGGCGGATCACGAGGTCAGGAGTTCATGACCAACCTGGCCAACATGGTGAAACCGTCCCTACTAAAAATACAAAAATTAGCTGGGCATGGTGGAAGGCACCTGTAGGGCTGAAGAAGGAGAATTGTTTGAACCCGGGAGGTGGAGGCTGCAGTAACCTGAGATTGCACCATTGCACTCCAGCCTGGGCGACAGGGCAAGACTTCGTCTAAAAAGTAAATAAATAAGTAAATAAATTGCATACAGCTTTCATTGACCAAGGTAAGAGAGGATCGAGTCAACATTATTTGTCTAAACCACTCATTTACTCATTTAACAAATAAGTATTGAGACCTGCTATGTGCTAGGTGTCCCAATGTGTCAACTATTAGTTAATATTGGGGATAAATAATAGTTTTGAGAATAAAAGTGTAAAACATAAAACAATTTGCTTGACATGATGCAAGCAGTCTAATCATATATAGGTTTATGTATATTCATCTTGGACCTGGAAGAGGGGACATAATTTCTGAGTAGAAGAATGACTGGGTTAATGTCTGATTTTGCATGTCCTCTGGCCCCAACCATGATTAGTATAAAAATCCTAGGGTTTCCCCTGTGTGGAGGTGGTGAGGAGAGTAATATCTTCCCCTAGACCTCATCCCCTTATGAACAAATGGAAGAACATTGAGGCTTTAAATGGCCTTCTGAGGTTCAAATGACAGTCTACTTTCACTTCTTTTATTTTGGAGGGGGAAATTTTAAGCTTTCATGCGTGTGGTTTAGACAGCCTTTAAATATTACTTTGTTGAGAGCTTATGATGTGGTGATTGAACAAACAGCACCATAGGTACTTGCTAGGGAATCCTTTACACATACAGTATGTCATCACAATTCACTTAATAATTAAAAATATATTCTTACATTATTGTTTATGTGTATGTTTTTTTTTTTTCCCTGAGACAGAGTCTCACTTTGTTATCCAGGCTGGAGTGCAGTGGCACGATCTCAGCTTATTGCAATCTCCACATCCGAAGTTCAAACGATTCTCCTGCCTTAGCCTCCCAAGTAGTTGGGAATACAGATGCACACCATTCTGCCTAACTAATTTTTTTATTTTTATTTTTTTAGTAGAGACTGGGTTTTGCTACGTTGGCTGGGCAAACCTATGTTGGCTCGAACTCCTAACCTCAAGTAATCCCCCTGCCTCGGCCTCCCAAAGTGTTGGAATTACAGGTGTGAGCCACTGTTCCCGGCCAGTTTATGTGTACGATATTTTATGACCAAAGGAATTAACACTTTTTTCAGGGTTTGCTTGATACAAAGAATACTGAAGGCACAAGCTGCCTGTGTCTGTTCAACTGAAACCCCTTGCTGACAAGGCTCTAATTCATTTTGTG